CAGTCTGTTCTTGTCATTACCATAATTATAAAATTATCTACATACCATCTAAAATCTCCTAGAGTGGGACATCTTAGGTTATGTAGCAGGGTACTTGTTTTTTCTTCAAAAGTGTTAGAGTCACCCATAAAATTATGGATAATTGATATTATTAGGGTTTCTACCATTAGAGGTATTTGATTATTTCCTTCTTGTTTTACTGCTGTTAATATAAATCTTCTTTGATCTGCCGATAAATAATTTTCCCACCATCCTTTTAAAGATCCTGTAAATCCTAGGATTAGTAATTGTATAGTTTGTTCTTCAGTATTTTTAGCCCTATAAGCTGAAGCAGCCATAGCCATTTCGTTTGTTTTTCTTAGTAACTGATAATCGGTTAATCCATCTATGTTCCATTCGGTTATTCTGTTCAGTTAAATGCGAGATGGACTTTCTAAATTCCATTCTTCAAATTGTATGTCGGGTAATGTTGGTCTTCATAATAATTTCTAGTAGTTGGCATATTATGGGTAGTTGGATTTACATTAAATTTATTTCCTATTCTATTTATTTTTTCTTCGAAATCTATATTTTCTAGATCTCCTAATTCTTCTTCGGGGATATCTATTACATTTAGTTTTCGTACATTTAATTGTTCTAATTTTATATTTATTTCTTCTAATATTCTATCGATTGATTTCCTATTTTAAATTCTTTGTATTCTTTATCGAGATAATCTTATAGGATTTATTAATGATTTTTGTAAATCGGTAATTCCTAATGGATTTTTATTACTTGGTAATCTTTCTTCCTCGATAGTTTTTTGAGCTATTTGATGTAATATTTGATTTGTAAAATTTAGTTGACTATGTATATTTTGAATATCGTTTATATTAGGAGTTTCATTACTATTTCTTTTTTCTCCTATCATTTTAAAAGGTGATGCAGTAACTTCTTTATTTTCAATATTAGGAAATCTTACTTCTTCTAAAGGAGGAATTTTACTAATAATTTCTTTATTTTTTGTTTTCCATATTTTTTCAGCATTTTGTAATACATTAATTTGTAGATTTTCTAAACAATTTTCTTCAAACCATTTAAAATATGGTATATTTTCTTGAATTAAATTTAAATACTCATAATATTTTTCGCGATATTCTTTTAATTCATTTTGAGTAAAAGTTTTGAAGAACCATTCTCTTTTTTCTTTATTATTTTCTTCTAAAAATTCTTGTCTTAATAAGTCTTTGTTTATCTCAAATTTTTTGATTACATTTATCATGCTATCATCTTGTTGTATTTCGAAGCGAGATGGAGAATTATGTGTTTCATATTCGTATTCGGCATTGGTATTGTTGGGTCATCTTTTATACCTTTTAATTTTAAACTTCTATGATGTATTAGGCTGGATTGATCGATTGATCTTCTGGCTGTTACAAAAGTATTTTTACTGGTTGTTCCTCTTTGTGAATTTGTTCTTCGAATTGGGGCAAATGATACTTCTACTTGTTCTCGATTTATATTCGTTATATTTTCAATTTCTACTGGTTACGGGGGTTCGGTTCTAAAAATCTTCTAATCTTCAACTAAGTCCGCTTGATATTTCAGTATGTTTTAAATTTTTTGGTATTACAGCATTAACCTTTTCTGGATTTACTAATAGCATAGTTGTTTCATCTTTGGGAGACATTAATAAGGCTCCTGGGGCTAATTGCGTTTTCATTATTTTATAATAAATTCTATAGATTATTGTTATGGGTATTGATTTTGGATTCCATACGTTTTCAGGGATTTTTATGTCTAATATTATGTTATTTTCTGTATTGTGCAAACTTTTAAGAGCTATAGAATAATTTGGATAATTATTTATGTATACAGGTCCATTATGCAAATTAGTTTCGAACATTGCTAATATTTGATTTTCAAGTTTTACCAGTCTATTATCTCTTAAGGCAACAAACATAGGGGTATCTATTCCTTTTCTAAATAGAGGTTTTATTGCTATTTGAATTGATCCTATATGAAGATATCTATATTCTTTTATATGTTCTGCTATTAAGGATTTAGTTATTAAGGGTATTTTTTCATGGCTTGATAATAGTTCTATTTCTTTGTCTACGATTTTTACTATATATTCTGATTTGAACATGTCTTTCCAGTTGGTTTTATAAATATTCGATATTTCTAATTTGGGAAGGGTCCATTTATTCAGTTGGTTTTCTATTTCAGGGATTATTAATTCATGGTGTACTAAATTCATATTACTGGTTTCTTCTTCTGTATATCTATTTTCTCCTAACTTTTCTTTTCCTTTAGATAAGAGTTTTATTAATTTCGCCATCCTAAGGCCAAGGTCTAAGATTTATGGGAACACCACAGGATTTATTGCCACTTTCTGGACTTATAACCTATACCGGCTTACCAACGTTCATCTACCCTCAAAGACTCTTAGGCAAGGTTCTATTAATAAAATTCTTTTCTATTGGAAAAGTTAAGTTTTCAGAAAATAGTAATTCAGAAAGAATAATCAGTATTATGAACAAAGTACTTGGCGTTGTTAATTCACACTAAATTATCAGAAAATAGTAATTCAGAAAGAATAATCAGTATTATGAACAAAGTACTTGGCGTTGTTAATTCACACTAAATTATCAGGAATTGAACCTGACTTTTGTGATCTGGGATGACCTATTATGCATCAAGCAACCCAATCGGGAAGACTTAAGCACCCAGTTTTCCAGTCGATATACTTTGATTAAGCAAACAATTTTCTGATGTGGAGGATCGGCCTAAAACGCAACCACAGAGCATACTTATTTCAAACAAAAACAGATATATAATCAGCGCAAATTTTTGTTCTTTGACTCGATACCATTTCTGGTACCAAGCACATACCCACGTGATAATGTCTAGAAGTCACATCTTTGCACAATTTATATAATCAATACAAAATAATAATATATAATTAATTTCTATACTTATCTAGATTCTTAGTTGAGGATAGCATAATTTGTCTTACATTATTAAAATACTTTTTTATCTGACAATTCAACATAAAAGATGTCACTTTGCATGTTTATTTTTATACAAAATCAGTTTCATGTAAATCTATCGGATAAAATATGAGAAAAATGTCAAGTAAATCATAACTAAAAAAAATAATACGCATGTTAACACTCAACTTTTTTTCTCATAGAAAAATAAATAAATAATTAAATTATTATAAAAAGTCTAAATATATATTAATTAAAAAATTAAAAATTAGAAAAAAAAAATCTTCCTTTTTTCCGAGAGGAAGACCTTCTTTTTCATGTCTTCCTCATTTCTCTAACCATCTATAAAAGCCTTACTGCCACCATGCTATCATGCTTTAGCCACCCCCACTGCACCTCAACAACGAGTTACTAAAATTGTATGAAATTGTGCAAATCAGTGAATAAAATGATGCTCTCATCAAATTTCATTTTTTAAATTCAAGAATGGAAAATGCCATAAAGAAGAATTTTTGAGATGAAATTAATGAAAGAAAAGGAGATTTTATAAATTTCATTTTCTCTAACAATACCTCCTCCTCCATCAGTAACACCCTGCCATTAGTGGCATTGTCAAAAGAAAGAAAAAAAAAAGAGCAACCTTTTCACGGCAATGTACAGAGAGTGGAGGCACATTATGTTGCAATAGGCATCAATGATGATTATGATTCGCTCCTTCGTCCACTACCAAGGGAAGAAATTAAGAAAAAAGGAGCAAGCAAACCAGTGGTAGCGCTAGGACTTGATGTACTCGCCCAACTTGGGTGACTCAGTCGATGCACTTGAGGATGGACTAGAACTCGACATAACCATAGCCGATGGGATTCGTTGTCATGTCAATCATTGTTGCGAATCCAAATGTGAGTCTAAGTCTCACGTTGTGTAGAAATGAAAAAGTTGAGCAACATATAAGAAAGTATGACCCATAATCCAATGCTTTAAGGTTTTGGGTTGAGAGTGATGTCAATCTCTTATGTGGGTTTGTCTCATGTCTTATTGGTGTTGTCTCTCCCCAGTAAATTCCCCCTCGAAAGACCCAATAGTGGTATCAAAGTATAAGGTTGATTGACAATTTAAGAGTGGTCCTTGTATTGAAAGTCTTCTTGATAGTGTGTTAGGTAAGCATGTCCCTATACTTGGAAGGGTCACTAGTGAGTTCGAGGGGATGTACCAATATGAAGGGACTCACACTTTAGGGGGAGATGTTTGGGAAATTCAAGTGAGTTAAGTCCCACATTAAGTAAGAATGAGAATATGACCCATAAGTCATTGCATTATGGTCTTGGGTTGAGAGTGGTGTCAATCCTTATGTGGATTGAGCTATTATCCCATTGGTTGTGTTTCTCCCCTATGAATCTTCCTTCGAAAGACTCAATAAGTGGTATCAGAACCGAAGGTTGATCAGTAATTTAAGAGTGATCTTTGTATCGAAAGTCTTCCTAGCAAATTAAGTCGGTAGTTTAAGAGTGGTCTTTGTATCGAAAGACTTTCTAACAGAGTAAGTCAAGTAAGCGTGTCTCGTTAGGTTGAACGACACTACATGGAAGGACCACTAGTGGCGGTACATGGAAAGACCACTAGTGAGCTCGAAGGGGATGTACCAATGTTGTCCCATGTTGTGTAAAAATGAGAAAGTTGAGTAATATATAAGGAAGTATAACCCATAACCCAATTCCTTAAGGTTTTGGGTTGAGAGTGGTATCAATCCATATGTGGGTTGGACTATTCTCATTGGTTGTGTTTCCCCCTTTGAATCTCCCCTTGAAAGACCAAACAAGTTTCATGTTACAAATTTGTCTTCTAAGGTAGAATATAATAACACGAAGAGTTTGTTTTAAGAGAAAAATGATACTTTGACAACCCAAAACTCATACGTCCAATCGACAACCCATATTTTAAAATAAATATTATTAAAAAAAGTTATTATTATTTGTATTTTAAACTATTGTTTTATTTTCCATTTTCTCTCAGAAGCAGAAGCGTGCACTCATGCTCATTATTTTGAGACTTTCCAATGTCTCTCTATCTGGCAGCATACACTCTGTCTCTAGCAACATGGTTTATCTTCGGCAGCGTGTTTTGTCTCCAGTAGTGTGCTATGTCTTTAGTTACGCTCTCGCTTTGTCTAGCAGCGTCCCTGTTACGTTCTCCCTCTTTTCCGGTAGAGTGTTGCATTATCGTTCATTCCCGGTAGTACGTTGGTGTTTCTCGCTATTGCGATTCTTTTCTAGAGTTCTCTCTCCCTCTCTCACCCAAGTGGTTGGAGGTTAGTTTTGCATCTATCATATAGGTTTAGGTTTAGGGATCCTTATTAGCGTGTGGTTGATAAACATGGTACAATAATGTTTGATGTTGTATGAATTGAAAACTCTAATGCATTGTGTCTTGGTTGTTGATTCATTTTGCATTATTAGAACTTTAGCTCACATTGATGCTACACTCTACATCATTGTTTTGGGAAAGTTCACATTTTAACAACCATTGTATTAGATGGATTGAAACAAACTAAGTTACTCTTTATAATAGACATTTACCTAGGTTAGTCCAAGGAATAGGTGATAATCAAGTTCAAGTTTATTATGTAATAATCTTTCTTTAACAAATTAGATTATTGGGGTTTTGAAATTAGGAAATAAAAATAGCAATTGAAACTAAGAGAGTGAAACCTTAGAAAAGAATTAACTTAATTACCATAATTGATTTTGAAGTTAGCTATCTCAATTTCAATTATGTTCCAATTTTTTATTTGACTTTTAAATAGTTTACCCCCTTGTTTTGATGAATGCTCAGTAGAAATGGATTAGTAACGACTTTCTTGTGGGAATTTAAATGCAAGTAAGTAAAAAAAGAAGGACTCTTTGGTGGCCTATACTGTGGTAGCAACCCAACCGGCATTTTTGTCACTCTACATGCATTTGAAAGTGTCTTTGGACCTAGTTGTCGTAGCCTCCATAATGATCCTCTGAGCTAACTTATGGGTGCACCTCCTTGACATTGGTTGTTGACCATTGCTACCTTTTTTATTCAAAGTCCCTAAAATTTCCTTGCTAATCATAATCTCCTTGTGTACCACTTGTCCATGCACTTTGGTCACATCTTGCTCCTCCTTTGACTTAGGCATAATGAATTTATTGTCAAACAACCAATAAGTTTGTTTGAGAAGAGGAGGATCAAAATTCAAGCCTTCTAATGTTAGTTTAAGTTATTATTGTTTATCTATTAGTATAGTTCTTGGACACAATTAAATATTTATTTGAAAAGGAGGTTGAATATATTCAAATTATGTTATTAACATTGTTTTGCATTTTGTCATTGTAAGGTTAATTTTATTAATTTGTAATAGCTTATTTTAGGAAAATATGGTTGGAAAAAGGAACTACTACAAAAAAAAGAATTGTGTATCTTAATTGTAGCTATTTATTTACTAAATATGTTATTTGTTATATATTATATGCACAGATAAGATTAAGATACAAGCTAGAGACAAAGTATAGTAGCCCAAATAAATACAAAGATGACTACATTGCAACAAATAACTATTGAAGAAACTTCGTTTACATGGCTACATCAAATAAAAGATTCATTACAAATTTTTAGCAACATCATAAGAGAATTAGTTAGTTAATGGGCAGTTGATGATAATTATTTTAGAAGTAAATAATATCTTGTCCCATTCACACTTATTGATGTTTTTTTTACTTTAGGTTTGTGCGTAAGGAGGAACACAGTTTTCTTAGAAGATATTGGTAGATGTATAGTAAAAGATTTATTTGAAGAACAAATAATAGTAACACATATAGTTTAGAAGCTCAAAGAACAAAAATTGATAAATAATAAACATGTAGTTGACTTTTGTAAGCTTTATATCTTACTTGCTTAGACAATATTTTATTTCCCACACACATCCCACACTATTAATAATGTTCTATTTAGTTTATTAGATGATATAAGGATATTGTATGATTATAATTTGGGTTATGTTGTGCATGGTTTATTAGAAGATAATTTACATCGTGCTAGTGAAAACTTTAATCAGCAAAAGAACGTTTATGAATTATATCTTGTTGGTTGTGTCGCTATCTTACAGGTAATGTTAAAATCCTTATAAATAATTGCTCTATTGCTTGCTAAAAAGGAATTATGAGTTATGACATACTATTATGTCATAGATTTGGGCAATGAAACATGTTTCTTTGCTTGCTAATCCACAACGCATCATTTGTTTTCCGTAGTTTGTTGAATGACCAAAAGCGAAGATTTAAATGTATAAAATACAAAATGCATTCATGTTGAATAATGTAAGTTTTGTTGTGTGCAACATATATTCTTTTTTTTTTAATGTCCAACTAAAGTTTTATGTTGCTAACATATAAAGTGTTCATTTTGTTAGATATTATGGAATTGGGTAGTCTCTAGTGAACATAAGACATTCCAAATTGTACGAGAAGCTTTGCAATTTTCTCAAAATGCCAATATACATTCCTAGGGTGGTGCCTCACGTGACTTGCAACATCTTTTGTCTAAGTAACGCGTGTGGAGATAAAAAACAAAAAAAAAATGAAAAGAGAATTCTTAAACTTGGACATCAGGTAAAAGTTTTGAAAGATCAACTTAGGAAACACATGAATAAGTCACCCATAAATGGTGAGGGGACATCTAAAACTACTTCTACAACTCCTAGCAAAGCTACAGACATGGGCAAATTTGTAATTGTTAGGCATGATTCTTTGTATAAATTGTATAAGTTTTACACCATTAACTTTGATAATGAAAATAATTGGTTAGTATATAATTAAATATATTTTTTTCATTCCATTTTTATAGTATAATTAGTGTTGAATATAGAGGAAATAGGGTTTGAGATTAATCTCTCTTGTGTATAAACCACACATAGGGTAATCTATTTATAATAGAGAGAGGTACAACTAAAAGAGTAACCGAAAGTAAACAAAATAAACAGAAGATATTGTTTGATATTGATATTGTGGTTAACAATATCTAACAATATCTAATAATATCTTAATATCTAACACTCCCCCTCAAGCTGGAGCATACAAATCATATGTGCCAAGCTTGTTACAAATATAATCAATTCTAGGCCCCCGTAAAGACTTAGTAAAAATATCTGCTAACTGATCACTTGAGTTAACAAACTCAGTCTTGATGTCTCCAGACATAATCTTTTCTCGAATGAAATGACAATCAATCTCAATGTGTTTGGTCCTCTCATGAAAGACAAGATTAGAGCTAATATGAAGAGCAGTCTGATTGTCACACACAAGTGTCATTTGAGTGACATTTCCAAATTGTAACTCTCTAAGCAATTGCTTAAGCCAAACAAGTTCACAGGAAGCTCAGGCCATAGCTCTATATTATGTTTCTGCACTGGATCTTGCCATAACACTTTGTTTCTTACTTTTCCATGAAATTAAGTTACCACCAATGGAGACACAATATCCAGATGTAAATCTTTTATCTGAAGGAGATCCTGCCCAATCAGCATATGAGTAGCAAACAACTCTTGTATAACAATCATTTTCCAGGAGATCCTTTAATATACTTCAAGATATGAATGAATGCATTCCAATGATCTTCACATGGGGAATTAAGAAATTGGCTTACCACACTGACTGCAAAGGAAATGTCAGGAAGAGTAATTGTAAGATAATTCAATTTTCCAATTAATCTTCTATACTGCTCAGGATCAGATATAGGCTCCCCCTGATTTGGTAGAAGTTTAGTATTGGGATCCATGGGTGTATCAATAGACTTTGAAATCATCAACCTAGTTTCCTCCAAAATATCCATGGCATACTTTCTTTGAGATATAACAATACCATCATTGGATTGTGTCACCTCAATACCTAAGAAATGTCTAAGTTTGCCAAGATCTTTGGTCTAAAAATGGTGACATAGATGTTGTTTCAACTGAGAGATGACATGTCATCAACATATACTATTAAGTAAACACATCCAATACTCGAGTGTCGATAAAAGACAGAATGATCTGCTTCACATTGAGTCATACCAAATTGTTGAACAACCTTGCTAAACTTTCCAAACCAGGCCCTAGGAGATTGTTTTAGGCCATATATGGATTTATGAAGACGACATACCATTCCAGAAGACTCCCCCTGAGCAACAAACCCAGGAGGTTGGTCCATATAGATTTCTTCTTGCAAATCACCATTGAGGAAAGCATTTTTAACATCCAATTGATAAAGAGGCCATTGTTGAAGAGCGGTCATGACGATAAATAAACGAACAGAAGCCATTTGTGCCATGGGGGAAAAGGTATCTCCATAATCCAACCCAAAAATTTGAGTATAACCTTTGGCCACAAGACAAGCTTTGAGGCGATCAATAGTACCATCAGATCCAACTTTGATAGCAAACACCCACCTGCAACCAACAACAGATTTCTCAGACGGTAACGAGACCAATTCCCAAGTTCCACTATTATGAAGAACACTTAGTTCATCTAACATGGCCTGACGCCAACTAGGATGGGCTAAAGCTTCACGGACAGTTTTTGGAATGGTCACAAAAGAAATAGAGGAAAGACATGTATAAAAAGGTAATGACATTCGATGATAACTCAAAGCAATATAATGAGGAGAGGGATTACGTGTAGAACGGATACCTTTTCGGAGGGCAATGAGAAGGTCAGACTCAAGTGTCAAATCCGGAGGAGACAGAGTAGTTGGCACTTGAGTGGAGTCACATGGTGGTGGTTGTGATTGGTTTCGGCAACTATAAACCTGAAGAGGCGGTGGAGAAGAAGCTAACTGCAGAGCAAGAACTAATGGTGAAGAAGACATAGTTAGAGGGTCACACACAACAGGAATATTAAATGTACTAGGAGTGTTGACAGGATTGGATGGAGACAGAGGTGAAGATTGACTTTTAAAATAAAGAGAGAACTCAACAAAGGTGACATCTGCATACACAAAATAACGGTTAAAAGAAGGAGAAAAACATTTGTATCATTTTTGTGATCTTGTAAACCCTAAGAAAACACATTTATGTGATCTAGGAGAAAGCTTATCAAGACCAGGAAACATGTAGATTTGAAAACTCTTAGAGGTAAGGAATGAAGAGGTTCATGAGAGAATAAAATGGAATGAGGTATTTTATTATCTAAAACTGAAGAAGGCATACGATTAACGAGATAACATGCAGTAAGAAGAGCATCACCCTAAAAACGTTGAGGAACCTCTCCATGAATTAAAAGAGTGTGAGTTGTTTCAATAAGATGTCTATTTTTGCATTCCGCTACACCATTTTGTTGAGGTGTATAAGCACAAGAAGTTTGATGCAGGATATCATGAGAAACCGTGAATTGTTTAAAAGAATGAGAAAGATATTCATGACCATTATCACTATGCAAAACTCTAATAGAAACACCGAACTGAGTTTGAATTTCATTGAAAAAAGTTTGAAAGATATGAAATAATTCAGAACCATTTTTCATT